AAAAAAAAAAAAAAGTTGGAGTCTCACTCTGTTGCCCAGACTAGAGTACAGCGGCACACTCCTGTCACCCCAGTGTCGACCTGCTGGGCTCTGGTGATCCTTCTACCTCAGCCTTCCAGGTAGCTGGAACTACAGGCGAGTGCTACCACGCCCGGCTAACATTTTTATTTTATTGCAGAGACGAGGTCTCACCATGTTGCCCAGGCTGGTCTTGAACCCAAAGGCTCAGGCAATCCTCTTGCCTTGGCCGCCCAAAACGCTGGGATTACAGGTTTGAGTCACAGTGCCCTGCCTGAAATATCTAAAGTTCACTGAGGAGGGGCCTTGCCAGGCTAGTTCACCATGGTAGCACCAGCATTTAGAGCAGTGCCGGTACAGAGAAAGCACTCACATATTTAAAGTTCAGGACCCTACAAACTTCAAAATCTTATGTACTTCAACACCCTAAAGGTAACCGAGACCCTTACATTACAAAACTGGAGAACTCAGACGCAGTTTCTTAATTCACATTAGTACTTTGACACCTCTCACTCTGGATCTGCCCAATTGTGAAATGCAGTTTTCAATTTCAATATTCCTTTTCACAGTAAGTTGGCACCGAGGTACTAATTCACAGTAGTTTAAAAACACGAAGTGAATTCTGTCCCCCACTTTTCAAAATCCAGAGGTAACAGTTTACCCTGGCATCTGCTTGGGACCTGTAGAATCAAGAATACAACTGTCTTTCCCTTGGGAAGATTTTTGAAGCTTAAAAAAAAAGAAGACATTTCTTCAAATATCCCCAAATTCTGACCCACAACACATTTAAGATAAAAGATCCTCCAAATGACAAGCCTAATCTGAAATGCTCTATGTGTTTTTCAACTCGACCGCAGAAAAACAAACACTTACCACAGAGCCAGACGCTTAATAGGACCAAGAAAGCAGGGTCATCCCTGGCCCACTGGTCTTTTGTCTGTTTTCGGTAATGAAAGTTTCGATAAACCCTCTGTGGGGACGTGAACAGGTAAAGCATCTGCCAGGCAGCAAACTCAAAGTCCATCTGCCGGAAACGAAAAAGTCTTCGCAGGTATTTGTAGCGTTTTGCTCCAGCCGTGTGTCTTGCTGCATCCCTGGAGTTCAGGACTCCGTTCCCCTGTGCTGAGGAATTCACTGAAGTACTTGGTAACATCTTCCTAGATGGAAGAAAAAAATTTACTTAACCCGTAATCTGAAGAAGCTTTCGGCTACCAGCACCCTCTCCCGAGTTATTTGGCGCGGTGGTCACTTGATATGTTCTCCCCAACCCTTAAGAAGGGTCAGGAGCGAAAAGCAAACGTAACTGGTTCTGAGGCTTGTCTTGGGGCATGGGAACCGCAGAGGGCTGGCAGGCAAGGGTATCCCCTCGCCCTTCTGAACCACCCTACCCGGGGGCATGCGATTTCTGCACTTCATCTCAACTCCATCCTCAGACAGCCCTCCCAGGCAGCTGCCATCAGGTGAGGGAAGGCGGCACAGAGAAGTGAAATGCCGCAGACAGTCGAAACCTGACTCAAAATTAACCACCAGACCTTCAAGGAAAAGCCTCAAGAAAACAACGTCGAAGCCGATTTGAAAACGATGGTACTGAAAAGCCAAAATGCACGGCCTATTCACACAGGCCCGCCAGTGTATACCTGGTCACTCGGATGTGATATAAAAACAAAGCAAAGCTCTAATCCTTAGCGTCTTGCTTCCGGGATAGCTCGACAGAGGGACTGACAGCCTAAGCGTCCACCCAACCAGTCGGCCCCGGGCGGCGGGCCTCCGCCTCCACGTCGCAGGCCTCCGGGCCCAGGAGCTCCCCGCCGGCCCCGGGCCTCGGGGACGGCTGCCAGGTTTAGCAAATACAAACATGTAACCCCCAGTTACATCTGGATTTCAGAGGGGCGGCGACTAAGGTTTCCGTGTGACTGTGTCCCACGCAGTATTTCGGACGTGCTTATACCAAAAGCTGTTCTTTTCCCTGCTATCCCAGTGTACCTGGGAGCCCTTGATCTTATGCAGCGACTTCCCCGGGCCGAAGGCCGGAAGTGGCCGCAGCGAGGCCAGGCCGCGGGCTGTCAGAGAAAACAGTCCCCGGCGTGAGCCCGGGCCGAGCGCGCGGGGAGCGGTCCTCAGGCCTCACTTGGAGTCCTGCTGCAGCATCGACCCGGTCCGCCGCCGGTCCGGCTTCCCTTCCAGCAAAGCAGCCGGCACTCGGGAAGCGACGCGTCACGCGCGCCTACTTCCGCCGCGCTCGCGCCGCCTCTCGGGCACCCGTAGTCCCTCCGGCGGGGCCGCCGCGCGTCCGCCGGAAGTTGTTGCAACTGGCTTCCGGTTCCTTCCGCCGCGGGCCTCGTTCGTTCTCCGCGGGGGAGCCGCGGTCGCGGACGAAGAGAGTAGGGGCCGCTGGTCGCGGGAGGCGTCGTCATGCCCCGGTATTACGAGGACAAGCCAGAGGGCGGAGCGTGCGCGGGCGTGAAGGAGGACCTGGGCACGTGTCTGCTGCAATCGGACTGTGTGCTGCAGGTAGCGCGGCCGGCGCTGCGGGTGGTAACGACGCCTGCGACGGGGAGGCAGGGCTCGGCGAAGGTCTCCGGGTCGACCTGCGGTGGCGGTCGAGCGTCCCTGGTGTAGGTCACATCCCCGGTCTGCTGAACTTGGGCCGATGCCCCGAGCGAACCGAGCGTCCGTTCTCTCCGGTGTTAGGTTGGAGATAACGATACCCGCCCCCTCGGGGTTTGTAAGGATTAAAACCTCACGGGCTGAGAAGCGTTTGCTTGCCCTCAGTAGGTTCTGGAGGCATACAGGCGAATACGGCAGGTTTCTTGCTCTCCAGGACATGAGAATCTGTAGAATGAAGTATTTTAGAGGCTTGCGCAAAGCTGGTACATTGTTGTGGCTAGCAGTTCTGTGTATGTAGGGGGCGTGTGCCAAATGTGCCTTGTGTGGGTTTGGATTTGTTTCTGAGTTACAGTCCTCCGCCTTCTCGGGTGCTAAGTTGTAAATGAGGCAACTCCAAATGCTCACGATTTTGTATCTTGTTTCTCCCCTGCACTCTTCCCTCACTCCAGGCACGGGTCTTCGCAGCACCCAAACCGAATGTATTGAAGCATTTGCAGTGAGGTTCAAGGTTGACCTGGGTTGTGGTTTGAAGTTCAGGTAAAAACACAAGTGCCTTTTCCAGTTATAGAGGCCAGATGAGAGGGCAGTCAATTGTGTGCGATTATTTTTGGGCATTGGGGGATGTAGTTTCAGACAGCTGCTGGTATTTCAGAGTAAAGGTTACCCCCAAGTGGACATCTACCATAGTTATTAGTATTAGTGCTTCCGCTACGTCACGACTTATGTTTGGTTCACTGATTTTAGCCTTTAGCCAGACTCGCCTCCCAGCGTCTGGGAAAACTTCGGAGTTGTTATAACTTAAGAGATTATCCAGCTCAGCTTCCTTATACAAATGAGGAAACTGATGTGCCCTTGTTTCCAGGCTCCCCTGTCCAGGGCCTTTTGCAGTCTGCTGCTTCGTTCACTGTGCAGTGAATGTTCAGCCAATAGCTAGTAAATGCCTATTAAGTGGTGGGCGTGGCATCAGGCACTGGCTATACAAAGTCACTACTTACATAAGCTGGGTCTCACGGGAGAAAGAGACATGTAAGAGTCTAAATTCCTGCCATAAGGGCTGTGTTTATTAAACATTTGTTTAATGAATAGATTTAGGGGAAAATGCCTTAGACCAGTAAAGAGCATCTGATTTTGCTTCAGAATTTGGGAGCTTCCCAGAGAAGTGACATTTGAACCGAGTCTTAAAGGTTGAGTAGTAGTTTATCAAGAAAAGGAGAGGGGGCGGTGGTCGTTGTGGGGAAAATCTGTACGACCAGCAAGAGGTGGGGAGATGTGGGAGGTCCTGGAGGAGCCAGTGCCCTGCAGTATGGGAAGAGTGACTGGAGACTTGAGAGGGAGGTTGCAGCCAGGTGTGAGGGCCTGTGTGTGTCAGCGGGGAGAGCTTGCATTTTATCCTGACATTCAGCATCAGGAAGGGCACGGAGATGAGCAATCAAGGAAAGAAGTACATAGAGCAGAACCGAGGAAAGAAACTGGAAGTAGAGGACAATACTGTGGCAGGGAGAATTCTAAGTTGGCCTTTTGCATTGACTGATTTAACAAACATTTATTGAGTGCCAAGCTCTAATTTCAGAGACGAAATACTGATGAATGGGACAGTCTCTCCTGAGTAGAAGGTAGATTTCTGGAAGGCTAGAAAGCTGTAGGCAGAGATTATTGCCAGGACACCTGGTATAGACTTCTTTCTCCTCATTGAATAGGTGGCCTTATTGATGCTAAATTTGGTCAACTGAAAGAACCTAAGTCCTATAGACAGCCCTTTAAATGGAAGTTCGTGTACAGTTTGTGTTAAATTCATCCTGAATGGCGACTTCAACTGGAGTGTAAAAGGGCAACACAATAGCAGGAGATTTGCAGGTCCAGAACAATCTCTTACCTTCTTGGATAGTGTCACTGGCAGCTACCACCCACCACTGCCCACTGGGGACTCTGAGGACCAAGAGAAGCTCTGCTGAAGTCTACCTGCTCCGTGTGGCCACCTTATTTATGGTGGAGACTTTTTATTCCTTAGCTTCTTGAATAAAGCTAACCTGATCTCATGGCAATCTTTAACCCACCTGAAACCCATGGCAGCTCACTCTGGAGGGATTCAACAAGGTGCTGCCTGGCAGATAGTCAAGGAGCTGGAGGGGCTTAGAGAAACTCAGAATAATGGTGGTAAGGATATAATTTCCAGTGGGGCTGAAGAAGGGAAGGAAAAGGCAGATTCAAAAGGCATCTCTTGGAGAGACTTCTTGGGACTTAATGACTACTGGGAGATCACCAAGGTTCAAGCTATGTCAGGGGAACTTGACTTATCACAGGGTATCCTTTGTGCCTCCATTAACAGCTTCCAGGCCTGCTGACTCTTCATCAAAATCACCTGGAGGTGGGGGCAGCACGAAAGTACAGATTCCTTCGCTGCCCTCATCCCACCCCCAATAAGTTGAAAGTTTCCTAGGTTGGTGCTTGGGTAGCCATGTTTGAGAGCACTGATGGGTCTTGACCTGAGAAGGCAAAAGGCTTAGGGTATAGGTTCGCGTGCATGTTACGGAGACCCAGAATAACAGTGGCTTAAATAAGATAGAGAATTCTCTCTTTTGTTCTTGTGCCTGTAGATAGGACCTGGGTTATTTCCCTTAGTCTTCCATGGACCCAGACGCCGTTGACCCTGTGGCTCCAGACACTGTGTTAGGAGATAGGATTTTACTCTCGTTGCTTTGCTTGTCCGAGATTGCTTTGCTTCCACACCATCAGGCCTAGTAACCTTATGGAGCAAGGTTCTTCCTTTAAGGACCAACCCAAAAGTTTTATTCCTATTTCCCACACATTCCATTGGCTAGAACTTAATCACATGACCACAACTAGCTGCAAAGGCAGGTGCGAAATCGTGCCCAGCCATATTCTGGATAAAGGAAGAGAGGACAACTAGCAGTCTGTTATTCAGGGTGGAGTGGATGATGAACTAATGTTTCTCTTTTAGCTTTAGCGGATCTAGGTGGATCTTTCCACCAGGCAGTTGGCAGTATATGATGAAAATTTGCAAAAAAAGGTAGCATCTTAGATACAATTTGAGGAGGCATTAGCTTATAAATTATAGTTCTTAAAAAAAAAAAACTATAGTTCTAGTCCTAAGTTGCAACCTTTTGTCTGAGTCCACATCGTTCATGTGGACAACACACCCCATTGGCAGTATGGCGAAGTTTGGAGAGGAATGTCATATTGCAAGGAAAATTGCCACTCTGATCCACTTTTAAGAATCACTAAATAGATGACAATTGAAATCCTGGACCCACTCACACATGCAGAATAGGAAGTGGCCAAGATTCCTAGGGAAAAGGAGCAACATAGATGTGGTACTCTTTAGCTTTTTTTCATAGTAAAAACTGGGGGCTTGCGACTGGTACCCGCAGAATAAAGGTTTTGGGGAATGGTTGCAGTAATGGGGTTGGAGAGTCAAAATCGGCTTGGGGAAATCCCTGATTATGTAGAGTGGTTGAAATTTGGTTTACATTTTTGCTGGTACATGAATGTTCCAGGTGTTTCTATTTAAGTAGTACTCCAGCCTGCCTCATTAATATCAATGTAAAGTGTTTAGTACAAACACTAAAAATATTCTGCTTTTAGGGCACCTAGTTCACAATTTTCACCCTTAAGGAGATGAAGATATCCCTTTGTAGATTTTTTATAAACATTTTGAAGTAGCCCATGGAAACAGTGTTTTCAGGAACTCAAGGTGTGCCCATAAGGTGCCCAAAAGTTATCTTACAATTTTTTTTCCATTCTGTCCTTTTCTCCTTAGGCACCAACAGTTAAAATGAATTGCGAATGACTTCTTACATAACTTTCTATTTTCCTCTTTTGTTTAATGTTTTTAAAAAGAACTGTTTCAGAAGAACAATTCTTTTGTACTTTGTGAGAAAATTTCCCAGATATTTATATGGTTTTATGTGCCCTAGGAAGGAAAATCTCCTCGGCAGTGTTTGAAGGAAGGATACTGCAAAGCCTTGAAATATTCATTTTTTGAGTGTAAAAGATCAATGGTAAGTGATTAAAGATTTTTAAAAGCTTAACACTGAAAGTTAGCTATATGCAGTTAAATATGTGAGTGACTTAATAGGTATAGAGAAGTTGCAGTGAACTAGTTTGGAAAGATACAGTTTGGAAGAAAGGATGTAGATAATCTTTCTTGCTCTGGTGTGTTCAGTGTTAGGTAGCATTCATGAAAGCCTGTCACTGTGCTAACCATAGCTGCTGAACTTCATGAGTTTCTGAAAGTGTGAGAATGAAGTCTCAGCAAGTATAAATGGGCTAAAGTTGTGTTGGTCACTCTGAGTTCAGGTCATTTGACAGTTATACACAAAATCATAATGTGGAGGTCTAGGCTGTATACACTTGTGCATTTCACGACTGGAGAAAATGTGTGTTTGAATTTTGAAGTGATGGGTTTTGGAAATAGGGCATAAAAAGGCATCACAGATCTCTGGAGTTCCACTCTAACATTCTTTAATTTAGAAGATCTACAGAGGTCTTTGGAATGGAAACTGACCTTTTCTTGGGGAAAGGAAAGAATGCAATCAGAAATATGAGCATCCCTTTAAAGAAAGCATTCCCTTGGACTTGAGCATGCTTTTGTTTGTTTAGGAACTACACTGCAAATCCCTTCTATATTTATGACTCAGGAGCAGTCATAAAGAACTTGAGCATGTTTGCTAGCTAGTCAGATCCAGGGAGGTTGCAAAGAGAGATTAAATTTGGCCACATTGTTTCCTTTCTTGAGTGACACAATTCTCTGCCATCTTTTCCTGTCATTCAGTTAAAAAAAAAGGATTTCCTTGCCTTCTCTCATGTAGGTATTTTGTTAAAATGCAAACCTGTAGATTTATCAAGAATTTCAAGGTTTGTAAATAAAATCCCTGAAATTCTCTACCTGAAGTTCTCTTTGATCTCCAAAAACTTAATCAGATTTTTAAATTTATATTTTCACGTTAATTTATCTTCTGCAGAAATTTGTAAAAATCTAGAATAAAAAATTAAAAAGCACTTCCAACCATTTCTAAATATCTACTTTGACACTGGAAAGAGCAGTCTTTCTTCAAGACTGTGATTAGTTCTCCAAAATGAGAAGAGTCATGTCACACCTAAATAATGAAACTTAGTGATATATACTTAGCAAAAAACAGAAACGTAACAATTTAAATTGTGTGGGTAATTTTGCCTGCTACTTTAGACAGCTGGGCGTGTGTCCCTTTGAAGGTGCCATGGGAAGTTTGAACCTGCTCTTCCCTCATATTATGAGCAGCTCACCAGCCTGATTATGATTGTCGTGTTTAAAGATTTTTTAAACGTGGCTCTTAGCCACTTCGTCTAGTGCCCAGATGAATAAATGGCTTCCTGTTCCACACTGGCTGTGCTGGACTCACTGGTAGGGTCTGTCTCCACAATAAATCCTTCTTACAGAATGTCTGGGGAGTGATAGTGTCTGTACAATTTTGCCTCACATGCTGACTTTAGAACTTTAATATTCAAATATATTTCAAATCTTTAAATAAATAGCCACTGATGGGGAGAAAGAGCCTGGGAACTGTTAAGTAACACATAACCGTTTAAAAATCCCTCAAGTGAATTACTCCTTTATAGGCCTCTTGAGAAGTGGCTGCACTGTGAGGCTCAAGTCAAAGAACATGCTGGTAGCCTATGAGGGAGTAATTCACTGGAGGGATTTTCAAGTGGTTGCATGTTACTTAGCATTTCCCAGGCTCTTTCTCCCCATCGGTGGCTATTTATTTAAAGATTTGAAATATATTTGAATATTAACCTAGACCTAGAAAGCTAGATTTTCTAGGAGAAAAATACATGTTAGCCCGAAGAAAAAGTTAAATGTAATCTGGATTCTACTTGAGAAGAAAATCCTTACTGATTGCCCATAAGTGGAACTTCTGTTAATGCCATCTTTATTACTGTGTTTTTTCTCGATAGCTCTGACAGTTGCCTTGTTTATTTTGCCAATAACTGGTTGACTTCTCTCATGTAGTGATACCCGTTACCAAAGTTGGATTTAGTTATATTGTACCTAATTTGATTTCATTGCACATTTATTTTCAGTTGGATACCAGGTCAAGATTCAGAGGAAGAAAAGGGTATTAATACCATTAAGTTGAAACCAAGATGAAAACTGCAAAGGATCTTCTTTGGTCATTGACACCCAAAGCCAAGATAGGAAGCACACTTTCTGCTTCATCTGTTCAGTTGGACCAGCTTGTCCCTCCACAGAATGCTGGGAGAATGAATGAGTTCTGGTTATGAATATATAGAAAGTAAATATTTTCTTGCTCTGTTATTTTTAGAAGAAAAATAATTTAACAGTATGGGTTGGGAGCATAATAAATGTGTTTTGAGGATCGTTCTAAAGCACAGAGAATGGAAAGATGATTATTTTCATACTTGACTCTTCAATCAGATTCCACACTTTGTACAGGCCACTGATGTAACTGACACAATTGATAACATGGAGCCTGTCCAGAAGATGTCTACTGGGAAAGTTGAGGATAAAACTTTCTCTTTAATTCAGTCTGTTCTGAAATAAACTGTTTGATTCCCTAGAGAAGAAATATTTAATTTGCACTGATTCACTGAAGTCACAACCTCAAAACTTCACTGCTGCCCCTGGGCAGAGCTGATGCCAAGCCCCAGGTGGTGTTGCCAGGGCTCTTCACCATCATCTCCCTGTTTTTCTGTTTCCTGATTTCATTTTCAGGCTGGCCCGCTCCACATAATGGGCCAATGCCAGCTATAAGCTCACATCCTTAAGATCTATGATCCAAGAGGAGAGAGAGAACTTTTCCAGGGTAACAAATCAAATTCTACAAAAGAACTGTCTCTGGTCTTCCCTGCCTTGGACCAGGCCCTGTGGAAAAAGGGATGGGGGCTGTGATCTTGGCCAAGCCTGGATGGGTCATATGCAGTGTCACTGATAACTCCCATCAGAATCACTTTGGAGGACTGGTGGGCCTCGTCCCAAAAGGGGAGGAATTTGGAGCAAATAGAAACAACAGATGTTCTCTATAGAAAGAGTGAAAAACATGAAATGGTTGAAAAGTTGAGCATCACAGTAATTTAATTCTGGTCACTTAATATAGTAGAGAATAGGAATACAAGTTTCCAGCTTTATTTGGTATTGAAGAATAATGAGCTGTGGCTTCGTTATACTGCCACAGTTCACCAGAGTTAAAGCAGTCAAGTTATTGTATAGCTCACTTTCTTTCTTAAATGTTCTCTGAAAAAGCTATGAGAATTCCACACAGCGTGGGTATTTATCAGAGTGTCACCGAGCCTGTTGCGTGTACTACTTTTCACAGGAAAAGGAAAAATGATGGATTTATTTTTAGTAACTATTGTATACATACTTAAGTGCTATAGCATTATTAATAAAGTTACTTTAATAAGAAACTCTAAAATGTATTCTTATTAAACCCTGTCTTCTTTGTTGTTTCATGAGAGCTTAATAGGAATTCACATACCACAAAATTTACCCTTAAACCATACAATTTGGTGGGTTTTAGTGCATCTGTGCACAGAGCTGTGCAACCATAACTATTAAGTCATCGCTCCAGAGAGAACTCTGTACCCATTAGCAGTCACTTCTCAGTCCCTCTTTTCCCCTCACCGCCGGCAGCCACTAATATACTTTTTGTATAATATATGGCCTTCTGTGACTGGCTTTTTTGACTTACCATGTGACCGAGGCCCGCGTGTAATGATTGCTACTATTTTTAAAATACGACTCTTAGATGAATAAGTGGGTGTCCCACACTGGCTGCATTGGACTCATTAGTAGGGTTTTCATGATGTCTTCAAGATTCATCCACATGTAGCATCTATCTGTACATTACTTTTTAGTGTCAAGTAATATTCTGGAGCATAGATAGACCACATTTATTTATCATCAGCTGGTAGATTTGGGGTTGTTTCCACTTTGGGGCCATTATGCCTAATGATGCTGTGAAGCATGCTGAACAGGTTTTACAAAGGCCTGTTTCTATGTGGAATTATGGGGTCATATAATGCCAACTTTTAACAATTTGAAGAAATGTCAAAATTTCTCCACAGTGGCTATACCATTTTACATTTCCACTAATTATGTATGAAGGTTCCAGTTTCTCCACATCATCAACACTTACTATTCATCTGTTTGGTTATAGCCATTCTACTGGCTATGCATTGGGATTTTGATTTGCATTTCCCCAGTGGCTAATATGTTTGAGCAAGTTTCCAAGAGCTTATTGGCCATTTGTATGTCTTCTTTGGAGAAATATTTTATTCAAGTCCTTAGTTCGGTTCTCCATTGGGTTATCTTTTTATTGTTGAATTGTAAGGGTCCTTTATATGTTATGGATACAAATCTGTCAAAGGTAAGTAATTGGCAAATTCTTCCCAATTTGTGGTTTGTCTTTTTACTTTCTTGATGGTATCCTTTGATAGTTTTGTTGAATTACAATTTAGTTTTTCTTTTGATGTATCTAAGAAGCCATCGCCTAATCTAAACTTGTGGAAATTTATTTCTGTGTTGTCATCCAAGAGTGTTAATAGTTTTACCCCTTAACATTTAAGTCTGTGACTCATTTAAAATAATTCCTCATGCCTTATTAGTAAAAACATTTTAAATTGTGGTAAATACACAAAATTTGTCATCTTAACCATTTAAAAATATACAGTTCAGTAGCGTTAAGTACCTTCACATTGTTATGCAGTCACACTCCAGAACTCATTTCATCTTGCAAAACTGAAACCATATTCGTTAAACAACTCCCCTTCACCCTACACTTGGCATCATTCTACTTTATGTCTCTATGAATTTGCCTTGTATGAGTAGAATCACATCAGAATTTGTCTCTTAGCATAACGTCCTCAAGGTTCATCCAGGTTGTAGTGTCAGAATTTCCTTCCTGAGGCCAAATAATGTTCCATTGTATGTATATACCACATTTTAAAAAACCCATTCATGCCGGGCTCGGTGGCTCGGCCTGTAATCCCGCGCCTTTGGGAGGCTGAGGTGAGTGGATTGCCTGAGCCCGCGGGTTCGAGACCCGCCTGGGCAGTGAGACTTCATCTCTACAATAAATCAAAAAATTCGCTGGGCGTGGTAGCACATGCCTGTAATTCCGGCTACTTGGAAGGCTGAGGTGGAAGGATTGCCGGAGCCCAGCAGGTCGAGGCTGCGGTGGCCGGGAGCGGCCACTGCACTCCAGTCTGGGCAACAGAGTGAGACTCCAACTCAAAAAAAAAAACAAAAAACAAAAAAAACCCATTCATTCACTGAGGGACCCTTGGGTTATTTCCTAATATATACATAATAATATATAAAGCTGCTATGAAGACGTGTGAAAAAGTACCTGTTTGAGGCTCTGCTTTTAATTCTTGCTGTATACCCAGATGTGAAATTGCTGGGTCATATGGCAATTCTATTTTAATTTTTTGAGGAACTGCCACACTTTTTTTTGATGATAACTCTACCAGTTTCCAGACCCGTCAGCACACAAAAGTTCCCATTTTTCCACATTCTTGCCTATACTTACTTTCTGTTGTTTTTTCTTTTAAGGGGTCATCCTAAAGGGTACAAAGTACCTTGTGGTTTTGATTTGCATTTCCCTAGTGATCAGTGATGCTGAATCATTTTATGTGCTTGTTGGCTATTTGCATACCTTGGGAGAAGTGTCTATGGGTCCTTTGCCCATTTCTTCATTAGGTTGTTTGCTCTTGTTGAAGTTCCTTGTATATTCTAAATGTGAACCCTCTATCCGATAGATGGCTTGCAAATATTTTTTCCAATTTTGTAGATTGCCTTTTCATTCTCTTGCATTTTTTTGAGGCACAAAAGTTTTAAATTTTGACGTAGCCCAGTTTTTTATTTTTGTTGCCTGTGCTTTTGGTATCTAATGTCCAAGAAATCACTGCACATTCCCATGACACTTTCCACCTGTGTCATCTTCTAGGAGTTTTATAGTTCTAGCTTTTAGGTTATATCTTCGATCCATTTTGAGTTTACTTTTGTACATGGTATAAGGTAAAGGTCCAACTTCACCTGTTTGCATGAGGGTATATGGTTTTCTCATCACATTTGTTGAAAATGTGTTCTTTTCCCCACTGAATGGTCTTGGTACTCTTGGGGGAAATCATTTGACCACATAGGCCAGGCTGTATCCTGTACGTATGTATGCCAGTGCCACATTATTTTGATTACTGTACCTCTATAATAAGTTGAAATCAGGAAGTGTGAGACCTCCAGCTTTGTTCTTTTTCAGGATTGTTTGGCTATTGGGGGTTCCGTGAGATTCCATGTGAATTGTAAGGGGGATTTTTCCGTTTCTGCAAAAAATAGAAAATCTGGATACACTGAATCTGTGTATCCCTGGGTAGTACTGTCATGTTAACAGGATCAGGTCTCTCAATCCACGCACACAGGATGTCTTTCCATTTCTTGCTGTCTTTACTTTCAGCAAAACTTTGTAGTTTTCAATATACAATATTCTTGCCTCCTTGATTCAGTTTATTCCTAAGTATTTTCTTCTTTTTTGATGCTATTATAATTGGAAATTTTTTAAAGTAACCATTTCTTATATTACTATAGCAGGACTTGATGCTATAAAAATATATTAAGTTGACACACACTCCAGTAATAAATATTCTTAAGTAATCTTCAGCCTTAAACCAGTCTTTATTTATTGGCTAATTACAGTACAGTGATTTCATGTCTTAGCTGGTAATCAAAGACACTATGTATTAAGTGGGAGAAGAAGATACAATCTGTCTTTCAGAGATTGCCTCTGAGGAATCTGGGCACCTTTAATCTTAAGAACTAGAATTGCATCTCCTGGTGGCAGCTGTCACCCTGAGAACAGGAACAAGGCAAAGAAAGTATACAGGATTTTGATTCTCCTACACGGGTGCACATAAAGTTAGTTTATTAATGACTACATTTTGAAGCCAGCCATTTAATCCAATATTTAAATAAGCTGTTTTTAAAGCAAAACACACTGCCAGAGTGTGACAGAAGTTCAGCTTTATCCATAAACCCTTCACACAATTACACATTAAATGCTATTTGTATTTAAGCACAGCATCCCTTGATCAAAAATACGAGATGTGCTACCCCATTGAAAAAGCAAAACAAGGAGACAGGTTTTTTCCTACCTAGAGCTTGTTTAAATTCAAGTGAAGCCACTGATGTCCTTACCAGTTGGGACTGTTCTGACATGTCACTTCACTGTTGTGAGACTAACACACACACTAAAGTTTATCCAAAACCAAAAAGGGGGCGAGGGATGGTTCACACAACTTTTAAAACTAGAATACCCCATAAGTAGACAGGCATCAATGTTAAATGCCTTCAGCACAAAGCTTAGAAAGGCAGAACATGTCTAAAGATGGAAAACTGCTGATTGTTGTCATTTAGTCACCTGTAGTATTTATTTTTTGCTTCCTTTTTTAAAAATTTCTATCTCTAGCTAAGTAATCAAATACAGCTAAATTTTAAACTACTTTGCCAAACCATACTAGTTCGAAGGTCTGAAACTTTTATTTTTTTTGGTTAGGTGAGTGTTTGGTTAATATAAATCATTATTTTACTCATGACAAGTTTTACATCAGACCTCTCAATTTGTAGGCAAAAACAAAAACCCTGCCTGAACAGATTATTTTTCTAATGGGAGAAAGATTTTAAAGAACAGTGCTGAATAAAAATATGTAGTCGTGACAACAGGTAACATATCCTCTGTGAAAACAAACTGTTTAATCATGTAAAATAAAGACGATATTTTATTTATTTTTTTTATTCTTATTTTTTGAGTCGGAGTCTCACTCTGTCACCCAGACTGGAGTGCAGTGGCCGCTCCCGGCCACCGCAGCCTCGACCTGCTGGGCTCCAGCGATCCTTCCGCCTCAGCCTTCCAAGTAGCCGGAATTACAGGCATGCACTACCACGCCCGGCTGATTTTTTTATTTATTGTAGAGATGAGGTCTCGCTGTCCAGGCGGGTCTCGAACTCGCAGGCTCAGGCAATCCACTCACCTCAGCCTCCCAAAGGCGCGGGATTACTGGCTGAGCCACCGAGCCCGGCTTAAAGACCATATTTTAAAATCAGATCCTGGACATCGTACACAAAAATTTTAATTTGTAGTTTATTTCATAATCCTAAATCGAATCTTTCCTTCCTGTCTCTAAACAGTCCACTGAGACATTTTTCTTAGAGACAATTAACCCCAAACAGCAAAATCCTTTCTCTAGCAGCTGCTGCTAATAAACTAGAACTTTATATCCTGTGTTCAAGAAAGATGTGCAAATAAAATGCTTCTCCTTCATCCTTATTAGCCAGATCCCCTGGAAGTCTTATTTTCCTTTTGGACACGAATTCAGGAACAGTTTAGTAAACCCGTGGTGAGCATGGGACTGATCCTTGTTG